AAAACTTTGCGGCATATACCCCTGCAGTTTTTAAAACATGCAACGTTCTGAACGTCCTGAACAAATCAAGCGGCGCCACATTGGTCTCACACCTTCCCACTCAAGGAGGTCGAAGGGGAATTTCTGTGAGTAATTGAACCTGAGACACTGCGCGCCCAGGCCACCTGGCTGAACAGGGAAAATGGACTGAACACGCCTGGACCTGCCACGGAACTAGAACCGCACCGTCCCCATCCTGCTGGGAGGTGGCCTTTGACGACCGGCCGCCACCAACATACGCACGAGGGGAACCCGGCCCCCACGACACTGTGCTCCAGCCGCGTCCCCGGGTCTGCAATCCATTCCATGGCCCAGTTACCGTCACTGAGGACGGCAGGGGTCCCGGATCTGCCCTGGGGTGCAGGGGGCCGCTGCGCGAGAGGTTGTCACCGGGGCCCCAGGCGGCAACCCCATGTTAGAGAAAAAGCTCTTCTCTTGTGTGCCGCCTGCCCCAAGGCTCGGGCTCCAGGCTGACAGCCGGTCATCCTGCCTCTGGGACGAGGCCAAACTCTCAGGAGCAGGGGCCGGGGGCCAGGCTCCCGTGTAAATGGGAGGGAACCCAGGCGCAGGTCTGGCTAAAGGTGGAACTTGGCGATCAATTGTTCAATAATGGTTTCATGACTCAATGGGCCTGGCCAGGCGAAACACCTTGTAGCTGGGACAGCGGTCCTCAACATGACTCCCTGTTAGAGTCACTGGGGGGCCCTCCCAGGGGCCCCCCGTCTCACCTGAGACCAGGCATGGTCTGTGGCAGCCTGGGCACGGGGGGGTGGGCGCTTTTCAGACTGTCTGGGGGTCCCCGCTGGTGGGAAGAATGTAAGGACATCACTTGGGCTCCTTTTGTGCCTCTCAGACTATCCCGTCATTTAAAGCAAGGCCAGGAGTATCACAGGTCTTAGTGGGCACTTGTTTTGAGAAAGGTGAGTTTATCCTCTAGCAGAGTAAAGTTCTCTGTGGTGTGCATTTTCCAACTTAGCCTTAGGCAAAGCTCTGTCAATCAAATGTACATGCATGTTCCAGACAACAGAAAAAGTGGTATTCGTTTCCATTAGCGTATGGAGCTCTACTTACTGCCTGGAAACCGACAGAATATTACCTGAGGACTTAAATTTCAGGTTTGCTCGGCGAGGGCTGCCTAAACTCTTATTCCGGGGAACCAAGGAGCCCTTCCCACCACGCAAGCGCACGTAAGGACTGGCTCAAGGCAGTGCTTTGCTTTCTCGGCACAAAAAACCCCCGCCCCCAGAGCGTGCAGTGATGGGCATGCTCAGCAAGTATTTGCACAACAGAAAATCAACTTATTTTAATAAAAGTTTTCATTCATTTGTTGTGTGAATCTCTCTGCTTGTAATTAATGATCATACAGTTTCAGTTATTATTTAGGTAAACACTTAATGAATATACTCATTACAATTATTTACAATTAATGATGGCCCAGTGAACAGAAACAAAGTTTGCAGACCCGACCCCGACTGGTGGAGTCAGAAAACCGCTTCTGATGCCAACTCCCCTGGCAACGGGGGGTTCAGGCCATTCCTGCCGCTCCCGCCAGACGGAAGGGGCAGGGCACTGCGAACCGAGGGCCTTCCCCTTCGCCCCGTCCACCACGATCTGGATGTCCAGGCGCCCCCCGCGTCCACAGGGGGACGCCCCAGTCCCCGAGGGGACGGCATCAGCAGGGGTCTCGGGCGGGGCTCCCCTGGTGAAGGGCTGGAGCCCTCCCGACAGGGCTAGTGCCCAGTGACAGAGGTGCCCCGCAGAGCCCCTCCTCCCTGCGACCGCCAGTGAGGGCACGGCCAGAAGCGAGCCGTGCGCGCGGGGAGGGGACGCGGGCCACAGGCGACCACGCCAGCCTCGGGCCATGAGAGATGCCTGCTGCTGCGGTGCTTGGTTGCGGCAGCCCTGACAGGCTCGGCCACCGCTGCTCGCCCCGGCGACAGGAGGGGACGGCCGGACCACCGCCAGGGACGCGTGCCAGCACCAGGTCAACAGTGCGCCTAGCCAGGCGCAGACCCCGCTCGCCTGGGGCACAGTCACATTTGCACTCCCCACTGAGGGGGGCACAGGGGGTCGGCCTTCACAGCAATGAGGCTTCAGGCTGAAGCCTCGGGAGCCACAGGGTCCCCCGGGGACTGAGGATGGCTTAGCTCCCTGAGAGGCTCCCTTCCCGGACGGCTCGCCGCAATTTCTGCTCCCAGGGCAGGGCTGCCTGCCCTCGGGGACCGACTCCCCAGTCCGAGGGGTGTGTGTCTTCGCCCGCCGTGTGACATGTTACAGGACCCCATGGATGACTGGTGCCCACAGGCCCCGCAGTTCTGGACCCTCCAAATGGAGAGGACAGGCTCAGGTGGGCCTCCTGTCCTTTGCTCTCCCTCCTGCGTCGCCCCCCGAGTCCAAAGCTTGTTGGAGCGGCCGGGCCGCAGCCAGAGCCTCCTAACTGGCCTCCCCACCTCCTCCCTGCCCACCCCTGGCCCTCCCGGGAGACGTTCTCCAGCCGCCTGGCAGTGAGAAGGACGCCCAAGTCCCTCCATGGCCACTAAGGCCCTCGCGGCCCTGGCTGTGTCCAGCCTCAGCAGCCACTGCCCACCCACCCTCACACTCACGCCGCCCTCTGTCACGCAGGCCCCTGCGTGTCCCCCAGATGCCCCCAGTTCGTCCCTGCACTGGATGCTTCTGCTGTTCACTCTGCCTGGGCTCCAGCCACACGGAGCCTATTCATAGAGCTTCTTCCCTCAGCTGCGACAGAGCTGTGCAGAGGCCTTGGGGCCACTCAGTCTCCAGGGGACCGATGGCGACCCCTGAGCAAGTCCTCTCCCTGCACTGTCCCCAGAGTCATTCTGCACCCGCCGCCCCCCTCCCTGGGCCCTGTGAGGCCGCCCCACCGGTGCGCTGCTCTACTTGGCCTCCTGGCTGCAAGCTGGTTCGGAGAGCCAGGGGCAAGTGGGGGTGTCCCCCCTGCTCAGCTTCTCAGTGCCACCAGGGGCAAGTGGGGGTGTCCCCCTGCTCAGCATCTCAATGCTATACCTTCATGTCTCAGCTCCTGCCTGGCAGCTCCTCTCTTGGGGTTCCAGCAACACCCCTGTTGATGCCCGGAGTCCTGCCCCCGAGAACCAGCTCCTAATTAAAACCTCCTGAACCACCACCGGGTCCCTGTTTGGGCCGACGGAAACCACCCCACCTGGCTTCCCCGCTCGGTCCCTCCGCCACGTTGTCCTGCTGCATTTCCTCCGCTGCCTTCACGGCGCTCAGAGAACTCGGTCCCCTTGCTTCGGTCCAGTGTCTCTCTCCTCCTCCCCCAGAACACGAGCAGGAAGCTCAGTGTGCTCACCGTCCTGCCCCCTGGGCCTCAAACAGCCTGGACGGCAGGAGCAGAGCCTGGATCACAGGAGCACTCAACCAGCAGCGCGGGAGCCAGCGACCTGACGTGCGCCCGCGCGCCAGCCCGGCGCCTGGCCAGCACAGCCCCTCACCAGTACGGCCCCATCACCTCGCACAGGACAGCGATCTCCTCTCCCAGACCTCCCCCTCCGTGCCCACTTTGGGGTCTTGCTTTTTTTTTTTTGTTTGGCACCATCACCTCTGATACATCGGATACATTTATCTCTCTCTGTCTTTTCCCCCCAACAAAAACGTCAGCCCCAAAGGCGGGAACACTATTGAACCACTGAGCCTGGAACTGGGCCGGGCCCAGGACACAGTCTCCCCTGACATTGACTAAAATGAACAGCCAGCAAAGTGGGCAAAACGTCATACAAAGCCATCCAGGGTCGTGCACAGCACTTCCTGGGAAGAATGTAAAACGGTGCCTTGCGCACCCCCAAGCAAGCAGCGCTGTCTTACAAGACCTGACCTTGCTCCCCAGCGGCGGCGCCGAGGACCCCCAGGAAGGGACTGGAAACGCTGCGGGACACTGGCCCAGGAAGAGGGAGGCTTTAGAATGAGCAAGACCCTGCGTTCGTGACAGCTGTTGCTTGAGAGCGTGGCCCGGAAGCTCACCGAAGGCCACAGCCGCTGGGGGTCCTTCCTGAAAGTGCCTGGCACATCAGTGATAAACACCTGTGCTGGTCCACTCTGTGCCACTGTGGCTCCTCTCAGCACCGACAGGAGCCACCAGAACGGGGCCAGGGCGGCGCGGCTCACCGACAGCCGCCCTCGCAGCAGGGCACGGCTCTCCCAGGCAGGCCTCACTCCGCACTGCCCGTGTGTTCCAAATTTTATTCTGCATGCTAATCGCCGATTTGAAATAAATGCCTCCTCCCCACCACTGATGACTCATACCTGCCCCCTCGTCTTCCAGTGTCTACATTGTGTGTGGGGGGGCGGGGGCGTTGGGGAAGGTGGGAGTCCCCACGGACCGACTGTCCCTGAGGGTGGCGTGTCACTCCTGAGTACATCTCCTACAGGCCTAAGAAGTGAGTCTCTTCCCTCCCAACACCGTTTGACCAAAACTGGCCCACCGCAGGGTAATGAGCAACAGCGCCGCTCACCCAAACATTGGCTTTTCTTCCACTAGTGCAGATTGGGAATGCGTGAGTCACGTCGCCATAGCGAGTCCCTAGGAATGAGGTGACCCCTCCTCTAACCAATAAGTGCAGGGGCTGGGACGAGCCTCCCAGTGACGTGACAGCACAAGCTCCAGAGCGCCCCGTCCTTTCGTGGGCTAATTCCTCCCTCGTCCCCACCTGAGCAGACACCCGGGGCAGGGGCGTCGCTGGGAGGCGGTGACCAGCCCAGGTTCCAGCCCAGGCGCTGACGGCAGGTGCTCGGGGGCAGGGACCCTCGGGGAGCGCGGCCCCACCCCAGCGCCAGCAGGCGGGAACCCGGCAAACAGGCCCGCCTGGGGGGGTCGCCGCGTGCCAGGGTCCGCTCCCCGCCCCGCGGGCCGGGACCTCGGCGCCGCGACCCACACCGCATCCTCCGGCAACAGGTGTCAGCCCCGCGCCCCACGCGCCCGCCCTCACCCGGCAGAGGCCGTCCACGAACACGCGCGGGTCCAGGTGGCAGGCGATGGTGGCGCTGGGCAGGTCCTGCATGTCCACCTCCTCCATCTCGCAGTCGATGAAGCTCCAGTCGCCGCCGCCTTCGTCCGCCTCGGCCGCCCCGGAGAACGGCGCGAAGGGCCGCAGCGACACCCCGGGCCGCGCTCGCGCCTCGGCCGCCTCGGCCGCCTCCCCGAGCCGGGGCTCCGCCACGCCGTCCTCCATCCCGGCGCCCGCGCGCCCTCGTCTCGGCGGCAGCGCCCGGGTCGCGATCTCCCTTCCACTGACTCTCAGTTAACCCCCTCGCTGTCGCGTCGCAGCCGGCGGTCACCGGTGCCCTGGCAGACGCGGCCTCCGGGCGCCAGCCGGGTCAGCCACCGTTTCCCTCGGCGCCCGGCAGCCCAGCCCTTGAGGGCGGAGCTCCGACGGATTCGGCGGAGGGCCCTTTAAGACGAGACGAGCTGTATTTATTGCGTCCCGCCCACCTACGAGAGAAGACCAATAAAAGAACTGAGTTCGTCTCACGTGACTCTCATTGCACCGCCCCCATCCTGAAGCCTCGGGCAGCCATGTTGCTTAGGGGCAAAGGCTTCCCTTGGGCAAGTTCCGCTTTCTCAGCAGCGGGAGCCGGCTGCCCCGCGCCAGGCAGCGTCCTGGGCACCGGGTGGTAGCTGGGTTGACAGCCGGGTTCCCATGCGGTGCCGTTTGGAAGCACATAGGCCAACTGTTGGAGATTTAAGTGCGATTTAGTCCGGGCTGTGGCCCCGTGGCCACGAGCAAGGGGGCGGATGCCTAATCACGTAGAGTCGCAAATCAGGAGTGAGCTAGACCGGGAACGGCAGTAGCTTACCTTTGCATTTCAGCGTATCTGTCTTCAGGTCCTTGTTCAAAATTTGTAGCATCGGAAGTGATCGTTTGGCTTACCGCCGTGTACTAGGTACGACAGGAGAGAACACAAGAACTGGAGTGGTGGCCGTTGCCTTTGAGGAGCTTCTTACGGAGGGAAAGCAGAGGACCTCAGATCAGCCTCTCTGCCTCTCCCCGTCCCTGCCCCCACCGCGGACGGAAGACCTTCCCGGGCGGGGTGGGGGGGGGGACGATGGTCCCCTGAAAACCCAGTCGGAATTCCAGCTTTGCCGGTACCGACTAGGCCAGTGACCCCATCTGAAAAACGAGGTCATACATGGTGCAGGACCCGATACATGGCAGCTCTATTTCTGTGCTAGGTTTTCAGGAAGACGCAAAATGAGACCTGTGTTTTCCCCTAAAGGAGGGTCCCCCTCCAGTGAAGAACGGTAACTGATTGTGATAAAACGTATATATCCAACGGACAGCGGAGGTTGATTCAGGACGTGCCGGGTGCTTCGGTCGCTGTTAGGGGCAGTCTTAGTCCCGTCTGCGTCCTGTAGAAGCTTAAACCCAGTGGGAGTAGTGACGCACGGGCAGAGCCGGTTCTTCAAATGGAGCCGGAGTCAGTGTTGTGGGCGGCTCCGTTCTTCCCCGCCAGTGCGGTAAAGAATTACAGATCAGCCAGCCTACTTGTATGTAAGCAACGCTTATTAGTGATACATTCTTATGGAAGAGAGCGGGCCTGGCGGACGCGGGGGGGGGGGGTGTAGGGAAGGCATAGGGACTGGGACTCTTGGTCCGGAGGCCTTATACAGTTTGTGGGGCGGGGTGGGGGAATTCTATATTGCTTTGGTGGGAGAAGGTGGTGCATACTCTTCCAAGGGAAGGCGTAAGTATGGGTGGAGGTCTGTTAACTCAGACTTTTATCTTGTTCCAGACCACCCCTTGTTATCCTATTAAAAACAGACACGTGGCCAGACGCAGTTCATCAAAGTTAGTTATGAGCTTTTTCTGCAAGTACGATGGACCCTCTCCCACCCCTCCCCCTTCTCCTACACTTCTACCTAACACGAGGGTCCGGAGACAGTGGGACCACCCTACACTGCTAGTGGGAATGTACAGTGGTACAGCCACTTTGGAAAAACAGTTGGGCGGATCCTAACAGTTAAACAGAAAGCTATTTCATAACCTGACAACTCCTCTCATAGGTGTAGACCCAAGGGAACTGAAAATGTGTGTCGGCACAAAAACCTACGCACGATGGTTCATATTATCATTATTCATCATAACTAAAGAGTGGAAATAACCCAAATGTGCATTCGCTGATGAAGGGGGGTAAGCCAGATGTAGATCCATACAATGGAGTGTTATTCAACCATAAAAAGCAACAAAGTGCTAACCCAAGCTACAACATGGGTGCATCTTGAAACATTATGCTAAGTTCAAGAAGCCAGTCACAGAAGGCTCTATGTTATTACACTTACATGAAACATCCAGAAAAAGCAAACCCATGAAGACTGTAGATGAGCGGTTGCCTGGGGCTGAGAGGGGAGGGAAGAGAATGACTTGTAGAGGGTACAGGGTTTCTACGGGCGTGAAGAGAATGTTTTAGAATCTGACTGTGGTGATGGTTGTACAGCTCCATGAACGTGGTAAAGACCCCTAATCACACTTTAAAGGGTGACCTTTATGCTACGTGAATTATGTCTCGATACAGCTGGTATTTTAAAAGAAGAGAGTGTTGGGAAGGCCGGAAGGGGTTGGATGAAGCCAGCGAAGTGCATGACGTTGCTGAGCGCGCAGCTCTCCCTAAGCCCGGCAGACATTCTGAAACAAAGGGGAGCAGGCGCCAACTTAGTGCTGGGTGGGTCCCTGCGGTGTCATCACCTCAGGACGGGAGGCTCTTTCTGTCCTGAGGTACCCCGAGCTGCCTACAGCCTGCAGACACAGGGCAGGGGAGGGAAGGACGCCCCAGGGAAGCAGAAACCTGACGCGCCCAGAGCCAGCCACCGCAGCGGTGGCTGCTGAGCGAAGAGAGGCCAGGGCAAGTTCAGCCTCAGGCACGTGGCGAGGACAAAGTCACCAATAGCTGACTTGACAACGTGGTCAGTCATTTCTGAGACACAGACACCCAGGCTCTCAGGGACTTTGGATTCCCTCCTCTGCCTGTCTCCTCTTTCTCCCCAGGTGGCAAAGTAAAGAGGGCGATATTTTTTATTGTCTCTCTGACTCCAATAATAATACTGACTTCATCAGGGTAGCTTGTAAATAGTTACCGTGCATACACGTAAACTAGCTCCCATAATCCTCGCGAACAGGTATTTATTACTCCAGAGTCTTGGAACTGAGGATCAAGGAAATTGAACGATTCTCCCACAAAGCAAACAGGCAGCCAGTGGCCATGCAGAAGAGCAACAGGGCTCACCAAAGCGGGAGTGATCTTTTCAGAGCTGTCATAAAGAAAACAGGGACAAGCTTCCTCAAGGCCCTTCGGGAATGGATGCCTGTCTCTCTCTGTCCACCTGTGGCAATGGAATGGAAGACCCCCCTGCGTCCTGATTTGGCGCCCGTCGAACGGGAGGGCCATCCCTTCTCATGGGCTCCCAGGGGCCAGGCTCAGCCAGAGTTCCAGGAACCCAGAGGGAAAGGGCCCCCCACAGGGGCGGAGGGCTGCTTCAGCTGCCCCTCTGCTCACTGCAGCGTTGCTTACGGTGGACAAACTATGGAAGCGACTGGGGTCCATCAGCAGATGAGGGGGTGAAGGCTGTGGGGCATGTGTGCAATGCAATATGACTCAGCAATAAGAGAATGAAATCGTGCCATTTCTGACAACACAGATGGACCTGGGGGTACGGGGTGAAGTAAAATTAGCCAGAGAAAGACAAACACTGTATGATGATACTTTATATGTGGAATCTGTGAAGGCAAAACGAATGAATCAACAAAACAAAACAGAAACAGCCTCACAGAGAACGAGAACAAGCTGACGGCTGACAAAGGTGGGCGGCGGGGGTGGGGGGGGATACAAACATGATCCAATACAATAATAACGGGCCACACAAACTGCCACCTTGAGCAAAAAATAGAATAATAATTTTTAAAAAGAAGGATGAGAAGCTGCTCTCGGTGGTTCCTTTTGCGGAAAGGCGGAAGGGGCACGCATTTCAGCGGCTATAGCCCACCGCCTCCCATTCATTTTCTGTCCCTTACACTTCGGTGGCGCCGGCCGCAGAACAGCCAGCAGGGGGCTCGGGAAGTCGCACTTGGTTATTTGGTTCCCAGCACCTGTCTCTCACAGGCACCGCAGCCCAGTTCCGCAAGCGCGCCTGTGCGCCCATAAAGCAGCCTATTCATTTGCCAGGTGGGAAGTTTCGCTGTGCGACTTCCAGCCGCTTCCTGTTCTGCTCTGGAGATTGACGGCGCTGTGTGCAGCAGGCCCTCGCTGAATGCTTATTAAATGAACCCGAGGCATTTCCGCACATGCCGGCAAATTATAGGCATTTGAAAGTGTTATTTTAGATAGGAGGCAAAGAGCTGCATTTCTGAGCATTTTTACAAAGAATAAACTGTTCCAAAGGCTGCTCAATCGAATAAACCCCAAAATAACTCAATCCAAAGTTTCTATTTTGTTACCTCCTGTAAAACGAATTAAAAAAATACACTATTTTTGCTGTTGTTATTTCAGAGAAATGAACTTTTTTCCTTACTCAAGGTTTATTCTTAAAATTTACTCTTCGAAATCCCTGTAATTTTTTTATGGTCTGTGATGCTTTTAAAATCAGAAAGCTAGCCTCATAAATTGGGTTTGGGGGGAATGCTGGAATTTGGTCACGTGGCCTTTCCAAATTTGGAAAGAAAGCTCACTGACTCTTGGGTCCCTCCAGGCTCTCTCAAGGTCGCTGACAACTCCCTGGGTGCTTTTATGTGAGGATTCTTCCCGATTGCAGGCAACCAAGACCTTAGGTGCCAGTTTAAACAAGGGAGAATTTAAGTTAAGGATGCAGGGTGTCTCTTGGTCGCCAAGGGCAGAAATGCTGCCAGCCATGGGGAAGGTCCCAGCAGCTGGACCTCGGTGGCTGTCCTGGAGCCAGGCTGTCATTCTGGGCACCTTGGGGCCAACAGAGGAAGGGGCGGATGCCTAAGGAAATGAATGTTCACTTCTGAGCGTGCACGGCCACGCGTTTACAGCGATCTTGTGTTGTTCAAATGCCTCCCTTTGTGGGGAGCTCGCACCCCAACTCCGGCAACGGTGCTGTACAATCCCCCGAATGGCTCCAGCAGGAAGGCCGGCCTGGTCTCAACTCCGGTCTGTCCTTCATCCTCTCTGTGGCCGAGGGGGATCTTGCTGTATAGAAGGCTGATGTAAAGAAGTGCCGAAGGGGCTAGAAACCACATCCAAGCTCTGCCTGGCAGGAGAGGGCCCAGCATGCACGGATCGTCGC